ATAAGACATGTTCCAATAACTGATCTACATGCAGCAGTGAAGCCTTGGCCATTTAGAGGGTAGGCAATAGATATGATAGGGAAAATTTACCCATCTTCTTCGAAGCAACATTGTTTCATTCTAGTGGCCACAGACTACTTTACTAAGTGGGTTGAGGCTAAGCCTTATAAGACTGTAGATCAGACAGAGGTAATTGATTTCATCAAGGAATTAATTTATAGGTTTGTTATTCCATAGACCATAATTGTGGATAATGAGTCTGTGTTTGATGGAAAGCTAGTAAAAGCTTTCGTAGCAGAATTTGGAATTAGTTTTGTTAATTCCACTCCCTATTATGCACAAGAAAATGGTCATGCAAAGTCATCTAACAAGTCCTTGAAGAAGGGAATACAGATGGTTGTGGAAGACAATCCTAGAGATTAGCACAACTTATTATTAGATGTATTATAGACTTATAAGACTTCCCAAAGATCAAGCATATGAGTTACCCTTTATGCCTTGGTATATGGACACGATGCATCATTGCCTGTGGAGATCTATATAAAGTCCTTAAGGGTCAAATGTCAAGATCATCTAAGTGCTGATCAATACCATCAAAGCATGCATTTAGAATCAGAAGATGTGAATGAAGCTAAAATTTTGACACTAAATAATATCCTTTTACAAAAGAGAAAGGTAGCCAAAAGCTATAATAAAAGGGTCAAACACATCAGCTTTGATGAAGGAGACTTGGTGTGGAAAACAATACTTCTAATAGGAATTAAAAGCCATAAGTTTGGCAAATGGTCATCTAATTGGGAGGGACCATACCAAGTCCATAGAGTTTTGCCTGGAGGAGCTTGCCATTTAAAAAATTTAAATGGATATGTACATCCCAAGAAAATTAATGGCAGATATTTGAAACCTTATTACCCAACTGTGTGGGAGGCACAAGGAGTATAGAGACAATATATGGAAACATCAAGAAGAACCAATAAACACTTGTGTAAAGAATAATGTTTCATTTTATAAAAATTTAAGTACATTGTGTCATAAATTGGTCCAAAACTCATTACAATGTTTCAATTGTTCGCTTATAATAAGCTTTCTACTCTTAAGTGATGAGAACAATTGTATAGTTGTGTTCATCTCCTGCCCACGATTGAACAGCCCCTGGTGAGTAGTGTGCAACCTCTTTACATTTTGCTCCAAAGCCAGGTTGACTGTTACTAACTCCTTCTCCAATTTTGCCTTCCTATGCAAGAGCTGAGCTTGAAGTTGAAAAGTAGAGGAGTGTTGCCCCCTTCAGTACTGACACTTCAGAGTGACTGTGGGAGACAAACTCTTTATCTTTTAGCAGCTCCTCTGCATTTGTAGCCATTTGGCAGATATTGACATAGAAGTCAATGGGATGATGCTGTGCACCCAAAATGACGTCGTTTTGATGGCCAAGCTGATTTGAAAATGTAATCTGCAGCACTGAGTTTCGAACCCTTGACCTCTCCAAAAAAGAAGCACAACACTAACCCCTGAGCCACTTTGTATCCTTACTAAGATCAAGGACATATATTTTATTTATTATATTATTCAAACAATCAATATATATGTATATACACCCAAGTGATGTCATCCAAAAAAAAAAAAAAACTATATGTATATAAATCTAACTTGGTGGATGTCATCATCTCACTTTACTATGTGGTTCTTAATTTCATAGTGATAAAATAAATAATGTCCATTCAATTTAATTTATATTTTTTATTAATTAATGAAGCCACTCAATTCGATATATATATATATATATATATTTGAACCTATTCATCTAAACAAGAAGCAAAATGACAAAAAAAATGATTACTTCAAGAATAAATAATATAATTTGTCAAATCAATAAGTAAAAAAAATAATTATCAAGTTATGCCAAAAACTACAATATGTCCATCCAAAACAACACTTAAAAAAATTCCAAGACTCAAACAAAATTCAATAAAACCTATTTGAAATATTCAAAATATGTCTCAAAAAAAATATCATTATCTAAGAATTACGGTAAAAAATAAAATAAAATATTACATTTCAATTCTGTGGAAGAGGTTGTGAATGACTAATTTTTAAAAAAAGTTTCATTATCTAAGAATGACTCGCCCCTCGTGGGATTGAGCTCTCTTTCATCAAATGACATCCCCTGAAAAAATAAAAATGAGTAAATGTAAGAATATATTGGAATCAATTTATTTTATTTTATTTTATTAAAAACAAACTACATTACAAACTTAAGAAAATTGCATATCTAAGAAGTTTGTGGATTAAATGATATTTGTGAAGATAAAGGGGTAGATTATGGGTAATTTGATAAGCACGCAATGTTAGTATCGTCTAGCTTGAAAAGATTGTTACCATAATTTATCAATTGTGGCCAATAGGGTATCCCAACATCTTAATTCATAAAATACTATTAGAAGTAAATATACTATTATAAGAAAATTTTAATATAAAAAAAATAAAATCTAACTTGTGAGCGGCATAAAGAGGAACTTTGATCAGTTAACGTGTTGCTTGATTGGCCAATTTTCTAAAAAAATTGTAACATTTATCAATACATTGCATGAGTGAAAAAGAAAACAAAAATTAGAATCAAGTAGGTAAACAATACCTTACGAAGGTCGGTAGGTTGTGAAATAATTTTTGTCCTCTTATTAGTCTTCTCTTGTTAAGGTTTTAATCTACCCCCACCCTTTTGTCCACCTTCTTTTTTTCTTTTCTTTTTTTAAGCCTTTAACTCGTGCAAAGTTAGGATTAAAACTCATATCAATGTTGCTTCCACTACCATAAGCGCCTGAATCATCAATGTAGCTTGCTTTTCATGCTCCTTTCGGATACGACTAGCCCTATAGTTCGGACTCCCGTGGTTTTGAATTTGATTTCACAAGTGCAATGTGAAATAGATAAACACAAATGAGTCCAAATTCAACAAATCTTTTGGAAAATCGGTGTTTGAATCAAATAACAAAAATGGACTGCTTTGCCAGATTTCAGAGTCGCCACCTAAATATTTTTGAGAAAATTTAGGAAACCCATGACTTGTGCCAAAGGCCACTTATCCATCATCACCAAAGTGTCTCGGCTCGGGAACTCAGATATGAGATGGAGCACCCCACTCACCTGATGAAAGATCAGCCTCTACTAATCATGATGTGATTTTTATTTACATTATATGATCTTGTTCCGGTTATTATGCTATTTTTACTAGGTGATGCACACAAGTATAGACCAATTCGCAAAATTTGGAACGCATTGATTTTATGTTTGTTTTAAAAAAGTGTTTTGAATACATGTCACTTGGAAAAAGCGAGCTCGTATTTTACATTAATCAATTTATTCCAACTTAAGTAAAAAGACCTTCATTCACCGGTATTCAAACATGTATATCATTTAAGCACTTAGCCCCATGGAAAACATGCTCGATATGACAACAATCACATACATGCAATATGTTAAAGTGAGAAATGCTCACCTAGTACTCCAAGGCAAGCCAAATAAAACAAAATAATTAGAAGAAATGCATGCTCCTAGACAATGCAATATGACTAATGCAACACACACATTATGTAAATAATGAGTTCGGCTACTAGCATGGCATATGAATCAATTTAAGGCATGCGATAGAGCATGTATTCGAGTAACGAATTCGAAATTGATATTGGTTAGTATGATGAGCCGAATCCTTATGCATACAAAGCGAATGGATGCAAACCATGGAAAATGATAAGGAAACATGATGTTCTATGCTACCATTATAAGCGGGTAAATAAAAAGGAGAAAGAAATGGGGTTAGAAGACATCACAATTATTACATATTTGCCCTCGTGCAATGGGGTTCGAATGAGTGTCCAAGTGTCCGAATTAAATTAACTATTACAAATTCGACTGACTAATAAATTAGCTAAACTAATTACTTATTACAAATTTTGGAATGAATAATAAGTAAATAACTAACCATCTAATTTATTACAACAAAGGCACTATGATAATAATAATGACAACAACGAATTACAACAAGATTATGTACAACAATAATATGAAAATGGATTAAAAAAATGATTACAACTATAACATAAACGACATTAATAATGCAAAAGAATCGGATGCGTGCTCATGCGGACAATCTGCAGAAGCTACTCTGTCTGCCTCCCTGGAAAATCTGCCATGTTTCACCCTCAGCTACTGCCCCCTGTTTCTGCCAAAACACTCTATTTACCAAACATTGGAGCCCGACCGACCCCTAGTGAGGCCCAACCGGGTCCAAATAAGGCCAGTTGTGCCCTAATCTAATGCAAAAATCTGTTTTTGTGCTATGGGGTGAAAACAGTGCAGACAGAGCAACTTTAAGCCATGTTTGTCCCTTCTGCTCTCCTTTATCATGAAACTCAAGAGAAGAGTGAATTCGAGTATGAAACCATCAATAGACACAAGTTGATGGCTTGATGATTTTGAACAAAATTTGGACAAAACAATTAATAAATGAAATGAAATACGACCACCTCTCCCTTTCATCATGAATTTGGCTCAAAGAGGGAGATAGACATGCCTCAAGTTTCGTCAAAATATCATGGATCGATATGTGACAACTCTTGAAGCGATGGACTTGGCAAATATATAGTTTTTACTTCTTCGTACTACTTATCTAGAGCAATCCAGTTGAAGTAGGTAAAAAATTGAACAATAATATGATTAACTATCAAATACCTCTTTAATGCTGCATTGAAGCTTTCACTAAGCTGGGTGCTTCGCATTCTTGCAGTGAACAAATATTTCATGTATACGTGCCCCCATTGCTCTCTTTTTCCCCAAGTCTTCTTCATCCACGCATTCTCATGCAAGTTGTATTTATCAATCAAAGAGTCCCAAGCTTCAGTTAACTCGTGTTTATCCTCATATCCAAAAATACAAGCTTTGAAATCACTACCAAATCTTGAACCACTCTTATACAAGTATCCTAAATGCTTCAAATCATTTTGCATTCAATGGTAAGTGCATAATCCATGGAAAACCTTAGGCATGACTTTAGATATTGCCTTAATCATTGCCTGATCTTGGTTTGTGAAAAAATTGCTAGACTTTTTCCTCGACATTGTCTGCAAGAAGGTTTCAAATAGCCACTCAAATGAATCAGTAGTTTCATCATAAAATAATGAGGGACCAAAAATCACTATCTTTCTAAAGTGGTTAATGCTTGTAAATAAAGCTAGTGGCCGATACTCCTTATTTGTTCGAAATGTTGTGTCAAATGATACGGCATCACCAAAAAGTTCATAATCTGTAATCGTCTCATGGTTAGCCCCAAAAATATTAGTAATCATTTCATCCACATCCAATTGAATTGCATAGTAAAAATATGGATTTTTAGCTACTTGTTGCTGAAAATATCTTAATAAACTCCCAGCTTCCTCGTATTCCAAATTTCGTTGTCTTTTTCCACGCAAGTAGCTTTTTTGGTCCTCTCTCGTGAATCCCAAATTTTCTTTTCCCCCAGCTAAGGCACTAATGAGATCATGTGATGCTTTAAGATAGATACTAGTGTCATCAGATATATCAACATTCAAAGCCTGAGCTTGATATAACTTTCTTTGAGATGGTATCAAAAGTGTGCACTGAGAAAGATGCAAACGATGGTTATAGTTGTCATCAAACTTTTTCACTATCCACTTCAACAAGTCTCGATCCAAAGATACATACATAAATGCATTGCACTTTGTTCTTGTCTCATATTAAGATGATTTACAATCATGTACCGTTTATCTTTTTCTTTTTCTCCCTCCTTACAACAAACAAACTTCATGTTAACCATAACACCATCTTTTATACTTTTGTTATGGTAATCTATTCTAATGCTAACCTCATAATCCTTCCATATTCATTATAGAATTGATATGCGACTTCCTTTGAATGAAATTCCATGCCAAGACATGGTGTTTTATCTTTGGTCAACTCTCTCATATCTTTGCTACAACCCCCATGTCCACCATTCTCTATTCTAACACCAACAAATCTAAAAAATTGAGAACAAGTATATAAGTAAAATAAAATATTAGTCTCTGTTTATAATTTTTATTATTTTTTATTCTACTTATCTAATAAGATGCCCAGGTTTTACTATTAAAATTTTTAGTAGAGCAATTGTCCGGCAAAAACTACTAAATTGGACAAGGCCTTCCCAAATAATCTCTTTGGATTGGGGCTTCCTAACCAAACTGTAATTTTGATTAAAAAAAAATGTTTCTAACCTCAAAACAACCTATCATTCAAGGGCAGAGAAAAATTGACAAAGTCTAATAACCAATTGATCAATTGAAAGAATTAAGATTCACCTTTTTTTATTCCACAAAGTTTATCATTACAACAATATTTTGTTGACAAACAAACTGATAAACATAATACGGTATAACAATATGATAGATGTAACATTATTGTTCTTTGTTTTGAAAATATGAAGTAAAAGTTAAACAATAAAAAATCTTAAATCTAGTCATTCATTAATTTTAGAATATTTTATATTAATTAATTTATATATTTTATTGTTCACTTTATTGATGTCAAAAAAAAAAAATTTGTAGAAACTCAACAAAGCAACGCACAAAGGGGCAACAATAAAGGTAGGCACATCTAGCATCTAGTATTAATAACCAAAGCAATAGTTCTAAAGACAAAGAAAAATAATAATAACTCGTAACATTCTGCTGGGAAAAAAAAAAAAACCAACCAATCACAATCACAATATTAAAGAAAATTATATGTTTTTTCTTGAGGCCTACCAACATTCAAAGACAAAATATGTTATATTCGTACAAACCTAAATAGTATGGTGCAAGTAATGGAGAGTCTCCGACAAAGGTAATAGAAAGTGTTCGGCGAAGGTAGATAGATGGTTGGCCAATGGGAACAAACTTTTTAGGGTTTTGAGACACTGATAGTTGAGAGTTTGTTTGAGATTATAAAAAGAAATCAGAGTAAAATAAATGGTAAGATCTTAAATGGTGTAGTTTTGATTTTTAAGATTTAAAAAAAAAAAAAATTCCAAAATGGAACTACTAAAAAAATTCGAAAATGGAACTGCTGTGCCACAATTTGTAATTGGATACTGTATAAAAATTATAAGGTATAAATAATAAATATGTCCTTAATATTTCTAAGAATACAAAATGACACAGTGGTTACTGTTGTGCCTCTCTTTTGGAGAGGTCACGGGTTCAAAACTTAGTGCTGCAGATTACATTTTCAAACCATCAAAATGACATCATTTTAGCATCCCCAATTCCTATCAAAACACCCCTTACTATGATGTATATGGTTCGGCTTCTTCCATTTATGTATGAGTTTTATTTGTTACTTTTTGTTTGCAGTCTTTGCTATGTGATTTGTGTAGTTGTTTGGTGTATTGTATGCTTGTGATGATATTGTATTAGGCTTTTTTTATTTCGAGCTTACTTGGAACTTAATTTTTTTATTTTTTTTATTTTTTACGAAAATACATATAAAAAATATAAAGAATGATTTGATAAATTATAGTACTTATTTGACAAAAAAATTTTACTTCCCAAACAAGGCCTAATAATGTAAGTATCATGACATTTTTAAATGGATTTTGTTAATGAGTGCAACTGGGTAATTAATTTTAAAATTATTATGTATTCGCCAATGTTAGTACCATGTGTGGGGATATATTTTTTGAGTACCAACACGTGGCTAAGGTGGCGTCGACGTGTCAGCCGAGGTGCCACGTGTCCAGATCATGACGCCGAGGTGATCTCGGTCAAGCCGAGGTTATCTCCGAAGATATCGGAATCCGAGATAAGCGGATAAGGGACAAGAGTCCTAGAATAAAGAGGAGACTTAGCCAAGATAAGGATAAAACTCTTAGGGAGTTTATCTTTATCTCTGAAGGAGTCCAAAGTAAGTACTAAATAGGAATCCATAGAAGTCAGGCTTCTATTGAGATTAGGATTGAGGAAACTATAAAAGAGAGGCACCCCCATGGGTCTAAGGTACACAATTTTATGCTTTGAGCATTGAGTTTAGCATTATTGATTATCTTTGAGAGATATACTGACTTGATCGTCGGAGTGCCCCCGGGTGGTCGAACCACCACCGGAATCTTCTCTTTCTGTTACAGGTTAGCCAGGTGTCATCTATTCTGCCAATGTTCTCCAGCTGAATATTGAGTTGGGCAGTGTGATCGGAAAATCACTCATACAATTTGGCGCCGTCTGTGGGAACGAAAGGAGAATAGATGGCCAACGACAAACCGAAAGAGAAGGTTGGGGACGACACCCCTACTGAGAGTGGGAAACATATTGACCTTGGCGTCGAAGAAGACAACTATAATGAAGAAACTCGTGATAAGAATCACGGAGAAGAGGACATCAGCCAGGAGGGCAACGTGCCGAAGAAATCAGACCGAAGCGAATATTATAACGAGGACGACCTCCAGGTATGGAAAGAAAGATACTTACGAAGGGACGATGAGATGAAAGGAATGGCGAACAAATTGGCAGACCTGCAAACGGTTGTCAATTTCATGATACAGAACAACGTCATGCAACCACTGTTCCCATTACAAGATATGCCGATTCCAGCAGCCAAGAAAGATGCCCAGGCAGGGGGCAGAAAATGGTTCCTGCAATCCTTCAGCATGGCGGGACCAAGGGACATTCTCACCGGTCTTCGCAGGAGGTCGAGCATGGAGAATCCCAGAAGACACAATCTTGGCCTAGATGATTACGTCCGAGAAGAGAAGAGCTCAGCCTAAAGTGAGCAAATCCCAGATTCCAGAAGACAAGATCTCGACCTAGATGATTAGGTCCGAGAAGAGAAGAGCTCAGCCTAAAGTGAGCAGATCCCAGATTCCAACAAACAAGAGACCGAAATCATTGTTTAACACTTGTTGAAATTTGTGGACAATTTACAAGTTGAAGTTAAACCGAAATCATTGTTTAACACTTGTTGAAATTTGTGGACAATTTACAAGTTGAAATTAAACCGAAATAATTGTTTAACACTTATTGAAATTTGTGAACAATTTACAAGTTAAGTTAAACCGAAATCATTGTTTAACACTTATTAAAATTTGTGGACAATTTACAAGTTGAAGTTAAGCCGAAATCATTGTTTAATACTTGTTGAAATTTGTGGACAATTTACAAGTTGAAGTTAAACCGAAATCATTGTTTAACACTTGTTGAAACTTGAGAAAAGTTTACAAGTTGAATTTAAACCGGGGTCATGATTAAAGGAAGGAATGATATAGGTTCCATCACCTCAGGATGCCGAGGTAATAGAACCTAGGGGGCAGTTGTGGGGACATAATTTTTGAATGACAACACGTGGTCGAGGTGTCACCGGAGTGCCAGCCGAGGTGCCACGTGTCCTGGTCATGACGCCGAGGTAATCTCGGTTAGGCCGAGGTTATCTGCGAGAATACCAGAATCCGAGATAAGCGGATAAGGGACAAGAGTCCTAGAATGGGAGAAGACTTCAGTTTGGGTAAATATAAGACTCTTAGAGAGTTTATCCTTATCTCTGGAGGAGTCCAAAGTAAGTACTAAACAGGAATCCATAGAAGTCAGGCTTCTATTAGGATTAGGATTGAGGAAACTATAAAAGAGAGGCACCCCCATGGGTCTAAGGTACACAATTTTATGCTTTGAGCATTGAGTTTAGCATTATTGATTATCTTTGAGAGATATTCTGACTTGATCGTCGGAGTGCCCCCGGGTGGTCGAACCACCACCGGAATCTTCTCTTTCTGTTACAGGTTAGCCAGGTGTCATCTATTCTGGCAGTGTTCTCCAGCTAAATACTGAGTTGGGCAGTGTGATCGAAAAATCACTCACACAGTTTGGCGCTGTCTGTGGGAAAACAATCCCCGTAACCCCTCAGCACAACAGAAACGAGAGATACTCTCACCAACCTTCTAGGGAGGACGGACGAAGAGAATCGAGAAGAGAAGGATCACTGAGGACGCATCGCACAAAGGAGGCAGACCCCAAAGGACATCGGCATGTTCAGGGGCAGGCACTGTGCTTCGACACAACTCATGGAGAAGGATCGAAAAGGGCTCACCACGAGGCCGAAAGTAGTATACCGAAAAGACTGAAGTCGAAAGATAGCTGAGCTCTTGGGTGGAGCAAAGAAGACTTAAGAGATTACCTCAAGAGGAAGCAACAGAATGCCGAAGCCGAGGTAACCTCTCCAGATAAGCCGAGGACACCATTCTCTGTGGAATTAGACAGATTTGAGGCACCAAAGCGATTCAGTATGCCGAGGTTTCAAATATAAGATGGTAAGTCAGACCCCAACTTCTACGTTGGACTATATTTGAATTCAATGGCATTGTATAGTGGGAACGAGCCGTTGCTCTGCAAAGTGTTCCCCTTATCCTTCGGGGAGATTGTATCAGATTGGTTCCACAAACTACCGAAGGAAAGCGTGAAGACTTGGGAAGGCCTGGCCGAGATGTTTGTGGCCAGGCTTGTGACAAACAAGCTGCAGCCATTAAGGGTGGACGCATTGATGGCTCTAAAGATCAGCAAGGATGAAGGCCTTAGGGCCTATGCAAAAAGATACTATGAGGTATTCAATCGAATACCCGAATGTAATCAAGAGGTGGCAGTCGTATCTTTCAAGAACGGCTTGAAAGACAACTGTCCACTACAAAAGTCTTTGGCAAAGACCTTGCCAA